ATCGAATATTTCGATAAAGAACATCATTTAATATTTTAAATGTTAATTATTGTAATATTTTAATATTTAATAAGAATTTATTGTGATTAGACGGACAATATTTAAATAATATATATTTATTATATCACAATATGACGCAACTTTACCATCTCATTTATTTTTACAATGTTTTTCTGTTCCAAATTGCACGAAATTCTTCCGTGTTAGGTTTGGGTGAATGGATGGGTGGAGATTGCCCGCAATTTGTCTTAAACGCCTTCCTTGTCCTTTTAGTAAACTTTATTTCGTAACATATCAAGGTTACAGTGAAAATGTGAGATTGTCATTCGTGTAGAATTGTGCTGTGTAACTCTAAGAAGATTAAATACATTTATTATTACAGTGTTGGCAGCAAAAATATATTCAGATTAAGAACTTGTGTTATTTATTGGTTATGTTGGCAGGGAAACTGTGATTCTTGGTCATTCGTCACGCATTCTGCGGAACATTCCTTCCTCCGTCGTCGGTTGTAAGCTGGAATATCCATTCAAGGGAAAAAGAAACACTGAAAGAACAAGAATACTAAAGATTAGTGAAAGGCATCGTTGAACATTTTCAAAATGTTATATACTTTGTTTTGGGGGTTTTGTCATTTGAATGTAGTTTATTTTTCTGACAAATAGAACGTGTCTCAGGAATATTTTGCGTGATTTTCCGATCACTTCGAATGTCACGTGAGTGTTCCTCAGAATTATATCAACGGCGATGACTTACATCAGGGTCGGCGTTGTAGATGCACTTTGTGGTGACGAAAGCGACTTCACAGCCTTCAGTAATCCCTGGAATTATTACACACATTTAAATTCATTTCAGTATATTTAACTTAAATTCTAACACCTAAAATTTCGTCACTCAAAACACTTATATTTATGTCTGAGGATTAATTGGTTATCAAAACATCTTACGTTCTGTTTTCAGATACAAATTGAAAGATTTACTAACTTTGTATGTGGTAAAGTGTTCGTTTACTACAACATTCAATAACTAAATATCCCTCACATTTAGAGATTTGTGACTTTTTCTGGTTTTCAGGTTAATCGGTAACAAAGCCTGAAAACTGCTAGACACTGCTGATTCTAGCACTGACCAACCTTGCCCAAATGTTATATATATTGTCAAAATGTTATGAAGACACAAGCAGACTTTATACTTAAACTTATTCAGTTATCATGCGCTTTCTTGAATTCAAGTGTTTCTCATTTATATTTCAAATGTGTTTCCGTCTTGTTACGTAATCTTCCTACGTCAATGGACACTTTTTACATCAACTTCTGAGGTAATATTGTTTCTGTGCCTCAGTATCAGACTATCGAGTATTTCGAAAACTAAAACTTACTTCTGCGGAAAGACACACGACACCTACTTTCATTCTGTTACGTCATTCCTTGTCTGTATTCACACCTATAAATTTTCGTATTAATAATATACTGATTCGTTTCTGTGCAGAGTCTATAGAATAAATTTTAACGTCCTTAAATTTGTCTGTAATGAATAAAGTTCCAAAATCCAAGCCGTCTGCATGTTTGTAACTGTTAGCGTATGAAATAAATACAATGTCTACAGACGTAGATGGGAGGATAATCTCAGGCGGGATCTATGGCAGATAGGAGTTGAAGGAGACTGGATTTCGTTGGCCCAGGACAGAGTCCGGTGGAGGGCTTTGGTTAATTCGGTGATGAACCTTCGGGTTCCGTAAGCCATCTGGTTGGTTGGGTCCACTATTTGGGAAGCCTGAGGGGAAGAGACCGCGGGGGAGACCTAGACGTAGATGGGAGGATAATCTCAGGCGGGATCTATGGCAGATAGGAGTTGAAGGAGACTGGATTTCGTTGGCCCAGGACAGAGTCCGGTGGAGGGCTTTGGTTAATTCGGTGATGAACCTTCGGGTTCGGTAAGCCATCTAGTTAGTTAGTTAGTTAGTCTACAGAATCAGTGCTTACTTTTGACTCACCTCCATACAACATGAGGACTGAAGGTCTTCGAAGTGTCATCGCTGTTAAGCGGAAGGTAAGAGCCTAGTTCCGCCATTTTGTTTAATATCCTACATAGATATGACTTGAATCAAAGTAGCGTTGTACAAAGTTGCATGCAAATTCATCAAGCAGTTGGGTAGTTATTACTGGACTTGTGGGTAGAAGACAGACAGACAGACCGAGAAGCGATACCATAAGTCTGATTAAAATAAGGAAACGTGGTTGACGGAAGCCTTCCTGTTTGCCTCCCATGAACTGTGTTGTGTCTGCACACGTACCGTCCGCTGCGTTACGACACTTCTCCATGGCTCCGATGACCCTGTCTCTCGTGTCTCCGCTTAGGAGGATCTTGGCCTGAGCCATGGCTGCGTCCGGCTTATACTTCCCGTTCTTCAGCTGTGAACACGACAGTCAAAAGTATGGAAATGCTTGTGGAAAGGGTCTGTCCGTCTGCATGTTTCATTTCCAAGAACTGGACGGATTTCGATCAGATTTGGTACACTTATGTTAATTTTATTCGCGAGGGCCCTGTGACACGTGATGAAGTTTGAGGTAAAATCAAATATGAGGTTTTTACGACGTTCAAGATGCCAGGTGCTCTGGGTTGTGGACCCGTGTGGCCTTGTAGGTACATATCAGCGTTTCACACTGCAGATGGTATCTGCCTAGAAGTCAGCACGGCGTCCGAACCCAGAAAACCAACTTCAGCATTAAGCAATTAAGTGATGGTTTCGTCAGATTTCTCAGAAAAACTTCATTGCACGTATGGATGATATGTATTGTAGATCTTTCAAAGGAAAACATGTTTCATCAAACCGAAAGAACACTTTCAGCTTAACAAATATTAAAACTCTGACTTTTTACGTAGCCCAGCAGCAAATTTTGTAGAAATCCGTCAGTAGTTTTGGAGATATAACCTGGCGTGTGTTTTTCGGAGAAATTTAGATAATTCAGTCAGAAGACGTCCTGAACTTCCAAAACCTCACACCCAAACTACAGGCAGTTGGAGACTGTTCTGTCTCCATACAGAACCAGCACAATTACAGCTCTCTTCAAGAGAGTTTACAAAGAAAATAATGTTCCTGGCCATCATGCGACGTGTTGAAAGAAATGTTTGCTTTCATTTATCTAACAGATGAAATCTGTGAATACGAAAATGATGCTAATAACATAAGCGGCATTACAAGACCGTATAAGAAAGTGTTACTTAGTATCGATGTTCTCGTTGAAGTGTTATGATTCAGATTGCTTTAAGTGAACTTACCGATTGCATCATCCCCAAGACGCACTTCATGTAGCACTGAAACCAAGAACGCCATTTCAATAAACACGTGATGGTTCCTTTTAAACTTACTCTGTAATTCCTAAATATAATCTGAGGTTTTCGCGGCTGTGAGTCCAAACATGGCTGTATCCTGGAAAAGACTGCCTCCATCATCAGGGCAATGATCGCCCTGATGATGGAGGCAGCAAGGACATATACCTTCAGTGTAATAAACACGTCTTCCCCATTAACTGCTTGTATTAAAAGTTCATTGATCAGTGTTTTTGTTGAAAAGCTGTTAGTCGTTTAGCTAGTCAGGTATCTCTACGTGTTTTATGGAATGTATTCATCATCGTGCTCGCAAAAGGTGATCTGTGTCCTGTGCTAGTTGAATCCAATCCACACCCTCATATACGTAAAAATGTTAACGCTAATTCTGGTATAGTAAGCGTTGACTTATACAGTTCATATACGGTCGTTTGTCTACTTAAGGGTTTAATCTAAGTCTTTATAGGTGCAACTTATAAGTTTTGGTCAGAAACACGCAATGTGGCGTCTCTTAAAATATTAGTCTAACATTTCATGCTATTATATAAAAAATTTCCACACTAAATGTGAGTAACTTTTCGTCGCCTGTAAGTTCAGTTCTTTTATAAAAATCGTTAATATTCATTAACGCGACGTTTCGCAGGAACATGTCTGTCGCTGCTCTACGTCGAAAGTGAACGAAACTTGTTCTCGCTTAGTGCTTCGTAAACTAATTCTTACCTTCAGATTGTTGTCTTCGGGAAAGTTTCCTGCCTGAACTCCTTCCACCATTTCTGTAATATTAAGATGACTTTTAAGCTACTGTTAATTAACCCGGGCTTTATAATAGTCGGTCAACCAGAGTCTAACATCGTGCATCGTTACTTTCTAAATTATTTAGAGAATCCCAAAGTGTATAAGAAACTCAGGCTAATTACTATATTATGACAGCCAAAGTTTCATCACCACCATAACAAAATTGCTCCTGCAGATTTAGAATATCCGTTAAGACGGGAAATATTAATTTTTAGGATATTATAGATTTTTCTGCATAACGATTCAGTGCTGTTTATTTATTTACATGTAGGTTTAGAAATAAATTTTGTCTGTAAGTTCAGTAAAGACACTCGAGACGGAGTGGCGCTGTTAATCGTCGCTCGCAAAGATTTGCGTTTGATGGCCTCTTACCTACGGAGACGCCTGTTTTCGGCTGACACACGTTCCTCACCATCTTCATTGTTTGCTTCACCTGGTCCATCGACATTCCCTGCAAAAACAATGGACCCGATAAACTGCCCATGTTACTATGAACATTTTTTTTCCCAAGTGAACTCGTATCTCTGATTGATGTTTCCCATTCTTCGTACGCTGTCTTTAATCAGTGAACGAATTTCAATAAAACTTCGTACTTGAGTTTGAGGGCATACATCGTTTTGAACCCTAAAGTTGCCCTGTGACCCCACGAAACCCACAATCAACTTATTTGTTTAGTATTAAAAATACTTACCTAGAGACAATAAACTTTATTGTGTACGTTTTTAGAAGTCACGGTATTTAATGGGAAGAATGGTGATTAATTATCACTGTGTGACAGATGAATAGCGTTCATGACCAGAATCTGATACATCATGAACAGCTAAGGATCTACAAAACTTCGACGTTACGCCCTGTAGAGGAAACGGTACTGCAGAGAAGGCGTTTGGAAAGTGTTCGTACTGCAAATTGTAGGAAAAAATTTTCACACGACACTTCTGCAGAACTGAATATCAAGTAACTGAGGGCGAAGTTGAGTAGAGCTGAGTTTGCGTTTATCGTCTGATAAATTCGAGAAATAACAAAGATTCAGTACAGCGCTGCCACTTACTTTGAAAGATACTACAGCCTGAAATAGAATAAATAAATACATTTGTCAGTGAAATATGTAATACCCAGCACAGTTACCAGCACGCTCTCTCAACTCCAATAAATGTCACTGACGGCTACTCACACAAATAAAGTCCCTTTCGATAAGCCCCTTTTTATCAACATAATTTTGTTTCGAGCTTCATAGACAATATTACATTTTCAATACAGTAACTTGATTATTTAAGCTGTGCTATAAATATTCTGATTCCAAATTTCGTAAGTAATTTTGCAGGAGAAAATATGTGGAAGTACGGTGTATAATGTGTATAAATAACACACATGCACGTCTAGCGCCCTTGTGCTAATCGCCAGTTGTCTCTCGTGACGAACAGAGAGTAAGTGGGTGTTGCGAAGAGTTGGATGTCGCAGCTGAAACGTCGATGTACTTACAGCAGACGTCCCTCTGAGGGTGTCCGCCAGGACCACCGCGCAGATCACAGCGACCGCAAATCGGAACATTTTTCTTCTAAAAGCGAACGAGTTACGTCGCCGTCCCTTTTATACAGCGACTCGCTTTGTTCATTGGTTTCGATTAAGCAAGGTCGCGTGCCTTGAAAATTAAACACTACTGTTCAGACTTCCTGTCTTCCGTATCTTACAGATGGGAATCTTCGTCTTCAGTGAGGCATTTCTTCAACTTTCATCGCAATTCTGTCGTCATTTTTTTTTTACAGCCTGAAACTCTTGTCCAAATAACATCGAATTCTCTCGCGACATCTGACATGACAAATGGACCCGACCCCCTGTTCATTCACATACACAGATGCCCTGATTTCGTGTGGAGATTGAACTAAACTCTGCCCCCTCCCACGTGAAGTACTTTAAGAGTTTGATATTAGTCCAGTTTCCGTGAAACACGCCCGAAACTTACCACTAATGACACTAGATGGCAAAATGTTCTGTCTTAAAAGCCCTGTTACAATTAGGTTAGGTTCTATAAAGTACTTACGTGAGCGGTGGAAAATTTTCTAATGTTTTTCATTGCTTTCTTTTATTTTCTGGCTTGAAAGAGAATGGGGGAATTAGAAGGAGAGAAACGAACGAAGGAGATAAAGGAGTGAAAGAGACGCTTTGAAATTTATCGGACGTTTTACCAGTGGCTCATCGAAAGGACAAATAGCGACGTGCATGAGGAAGACCACGGAAGCTAATGTGAAGAACATGTCAGGCTCAAAGTACGCGTGTTCGTAACCAGATGAAGATGAGTGATCAGTTTAACGCTGTGCCCTCTTTATCCACTAGGAAATAACCCCCCCCTCCTCCCCCGGTACTGCTGGATATCACAGTGGATTATCAGAGCAATTGCGAGGTCTACGTCTGTGCTAGAAATCGAAATCTGAACCCTAATTTTCTTAGATTTAAGCTTCTATCCTGCGTTGTTACAGGAAGCCTTCCATCTGCGTGTACGTCTTTTCATAAAAATTAACACGCAATTGAAATGAAGGCTGGGCGAGCAAGTGACATCTACCGGCATGAACCGAACGTCTCTTGCTTCGTATTAGGGAAGTCTCGGGTTCAAATCTCGGTCCTTAGACCGGCTATCCTGACGGCTTCTTCGTGATATTCCTCAGTACTTCCGGGTGAATGGCGGTGTATTACATTCAGGCAAGCCACTGATGTTTCCTTCCATCTAATATCCTATATATTCTAAGTTACTTACGACGTCGTTAAATAAACAGCAAATAATTAATTAGTTTGAAACACGTATACCAACATGAACTCGTTCGGTTTTGGTCACATGACTTGCGGCGTCTTGTATCTGAAGACTTGGTTTAACATTCTTTGTTCGATTTGTGGACTTGAAATCTTGAAATCTGTGGTACGTGAACTGACATTGGGGCAGGTTTTACTGGAGAACAGTATTTGGGTTTTCAGTCATTTCTCCTGCCCCATCTGCTGCTATCTTAGGCGCGGTCTTCAGAATGAAAGCGTAATACTGAAATCCCGTAGTACGAATGGGGTTGAGTTTTCTAATTGGTGGCGCTGTCTACAGGCGTGTTTGCACAGACAAATTCTGTTTACTCTGCTGTTTCATTAGTACGAAAGATAATTAGGTTCTGAAGGGTTCTGACGATGTTGTAATACAATATGGATTATCGGACCTCGTACGTCGCCTTATGTAATGAAACACCCAACGTTTCGAGGACTGGATCTGTCCTCCGGTAGTTGAGACTAGCTCATTGTAATGGATCCCACGGAGTAGGCGTTCGCTTCACTACACCTGAAGACGAGGACGAATCCAGTCCTCGAGACGTTGGGTGTTTTACAATATCAAACATTGATAAGATCGAAAATCTCTACAAACGTGAAAATAATTAGGATATCCTTCATGCAGAATTTCATAACCATTTGTCTGCATCTTAATCTGTAAACCAGTTCGTTATATTGAAGAACTTTCTAATAAAATCCATTGCATCTTATGAATACACACTTTCATTTCTGTCCGGTAGATCACTTTAGAGAAATCAGATCAAGTTGAATCTCTCGTGTAAAATGGAGATTACAGGCGGCCGATATGAACCGCGGTGCAGTTAGTACTGGAACCTGGTCATAGAGGTAGACAGAGCACACAGACGGAA